TATGATGATGATGATGATGATGATATGATGATGATGATGATGATGATGAAGAAGAAGAAGAAGAAGAAGAAAATATCTATGAGAATGATCCCCATTCATTATTTCTTATTTAGACTCTGTATAACAGCACCTTTTTGAAGGTGAAAGGTGATCATTAGAGATACTTGTCAAATGCTGTTCCAAAATATAAGGGTGTTTAAACAAGGCTGGATGCTTCTCCACTTTTGTTTAATAATAATAATATCTATGGGCCTTTAGGCAACCCAAATGTTCATCTCCTACACTGGCAGATGGGTTTATCTCCATCTTACTTTAGAGGGATAATGCAGTGCTGCTATCAAGCTCCCAAGAGGCTTTAGAAGAGTCTAGTGTGTCCTGGTTCAGTATTGCCAAGAAGATGAAGTCACAATCAACTAGAACTATGTTTTTGCAAAGACATAGTCCATAAATGCTGTATGTTGTCGTATTTCCAGTTATAAATTTATAGAGTTATAAATTAAATATCAAAGTGGTTTTTTATTTGGAATTTCTCCTTTTATATATTGAAGTATTCTTCGTTGTAACTTACATTGTATTTTTTATGGCAGGCGTGATGTTCTTATATATTGGCTAAAGACCATAACAATACAATCTAAGAAATCTCCAATGGACCATCCATGTTGTTTTGGAAATAGAATCAATTACCGATTATAAGTCTGTGAAGGCTTCCTATGAGAAGATTATAGCATTTGGTATTTCTTATTAAGATGCTGGAGTACTAGGAAAGACTCATAGTCGACCAACTCTTTGTAAAGCCTACACCTGAACTATTAAATTTTGTTCATTCACCCGATCCCTTAATTTCTCTTGGAGATGCTGATAGGCAGAGACATCTCTTCTACTTTTTGAAGATGGTGGCTGCAATTGTTGTGCCTTAATTCTTACAAACATTGCCAGATTTATCAATATGTGTAAAAGGTGTAGCCAAAACAGTACCCTCCCTCATTTATACACTTTTAAATTGAAGCAGGAGGAATTAGATATCTCTACAAACATTTCCTGGCTCTCAGATGAGAGATCAAGTTTGTAGTCCTAGAGGCCTAACTGTCATTTGTTCACCTCAGAGGCTAACACAACATTATTAAGATTTTCACGACAATGCTGTTGATGACAGAACTTAAATCTCCTTTATTCCTATTTCAATTGACAGAATCTCCACTGTTGAGAATATTTATGTAAGTGGCAAGAATCATAGGAATATGCTTAGGTAGCTTTTTGTCAGGTTTGGTCAGCAATTTAATGTAATGTGGAAGAATAACACTGGATTGTTTGCTATTGCAACAAGTATAAATAATATACTGTCTTCTAGATAACTACTAGTCTGCAGCTTCCCTGATTCCTTGCAGTTAGCCATGATGTCTACAACTGATGGGAGTTAAACATCACCTATTCCTGTTTTAAGTTGTTTTAAGATGTTTGAGGAAACAGCAAAGGGATTAAATCAAAGTACAGTTATGAATCTTAAGAGTAGAGACCATTAAACACAGTGGAATATGCTATCAGTATATTTATGGATTGTTGTACTGAAGATCACAAATCAGAAAATAAGGTGCTGAGTTTAAAGAGCAAGCATTCCATAGATTTCCAATGTGATGTTAATTAGGGCATAATCAGTCACATTTATATGGCAACCAGGAGGTCTTTAGAGTTTTCTTTCTGGCTTCCTTTTTTAATACTAGAGGATTTTTTCCCTGAATACATTTAATCCAAAACACTCATCCTCCTGGCAATTACAATGAATTACTAGATTGCAAATTTGTTATATTGCATATATCCCTCACAAAGTTGCCATATTGGTTAAGGCTTATTGTTACTGGAGTTTCCCAATACTTGGAAGATCACATATGGCCCATACTAGATTTACACATGTTCACACAGCCAGTATCAATCCAGATTCAGAACAAGGCTACCTTCCCCTTGTTGTCCAAGCAAAATTTGGTAATCTTTGAGAATTGATTGGACATTGTTAGATTATGGCCTAAACGAACCTCTAGGGGAAGGAGATTGTTCTACCATTTCTCTTATGTGACACAAAAGAATATAAAATGTTCTGTAAAATAAGAAAAGACACTGGTTTTGGTAAAGAATACTAGATCCAAGTGCGGAAGGATCCAGATTGAATCTTGTCCTTCTCAAGTAGAACTGAAAAATTCTCTCCCTAAAACTGGAACTGACATTTACAACCAGTATTAACCAGGGAAGATATTTTTACATTTATTTAAAAATATCTCCAACTAAGTCAGGCTACTAGTACATTTAGTTCAGTATTCTTTGTAGCAAAATGGGGAACTGGTGTAAAAATATCTTAAAGTAAGTGAGCTACTAATCCATTGTTTTTAGGGTAATGGGGAACTGGTGGCCTGCACATGTCACTGAAGTACAATTCCCAGTTTTCCTTAATATTCTACTTTGGCAAAAAATTAACTACTCATCCTGATCAACGTGGTGGTAAAAAAAATCAGTTCCAGATTTCAGGTAAAGAATTCTCCAGTCCCACCTGAGAACCAAAAGACTCAATCTGACTCCTTCTGCACTTGAGGCTAGTAATGTTTACGTAGGGCAGTGATGGCGAACTTTTTCGGCACCAAGTGCCCAAATCAGAACCCATGTGCATGTGCTGCAGCTCCGGAAACCCAAAATACCAACTGGCTTGCACGTGCATACCTGTTTTTTTGGCAGTTTTCATGCCAGGTTTTTTTTTTGGGGGGGGGGCATTTTCAAGCCATTTTTCAGGCTGTTTTCAGGTCATTTTGGGGGTGTTTTCAGCTAAAAACCAGCCTGAAACCAGCCCGGAAAATGGCCTGTGTTTTGGCTGTTTTTCAGAATGTTTTTTGCCATTTTCCAGACCGTTTTGGGCCATTTTCCGGCCGTTTTCCAGTGCTCTGGTGCCCACGAAGACCAGCTGCCAGAAACCAGAAGAGCAGCTGACAACATGCACGTGCCCATAGAGAGGGCTTTGCGTGCCACTTCTGGCACCCATGCCACAGATTTGCCATCATAGACCTAGGGGCCTTTACTTACTCTTTCTACTTATCAGATTTAGCTTTTTAGACAGCAGATGGAAAGCATGCCCCACTATTGCTTAAGTAACCAACGTGACTAATATGATCCCTATAAAATCATACTAAAATAGTTCCTTTGACAAACAAGCCCAGGTCAAATTCTATCATATTAAATAAACCCGGGCCTTGTGTCCTCAATCCATTTTGTCCTAGGATGCCAAACCAAGTTATGAGCACCACTGTTTTTCTTTCTCTGTCTCTAGGTAATTGTGAGCCTGTTCTGAAGCTCTTGCCTGAGGTAATTCTCTTGCAAATCAGTAAGCATCTCACTGTGATTGCAATTTACCCTTTAGTGTAGAATTAAAAAATGGCCATTACTTATTGGTAAAATCTGCAAAAGAGACATTGTGAAACAAGCTCAAGTGTTGCTCGTTCCTGACGGAGCCAATTTCCAAGATGCTGGAAATCTAATTTTTCCTCTACTTCCACAGCCCCTCTGTCAGTCTTCCTCAGCACTGCTCTTCTTCCCTTCCCTTTTTTCTTCCTTGTCCTCTGATTCTTTTCACTTTTATGGTTTGTACTCCTTCCCCCCAGTGCTGTTGGAGAATTTTCCAGGGCAGAAAAGAGGCTGACTTTCAAAGTGATAAATAAGTAAATCAGCAAACATGCAGTGAAGGAACAGAATTCTGTGGAACCAAAGAAAAATGCCAACACCATGCAAATTGATCAATCAACTCAGACCTTGAAAGCGTGACAAAGAAGGCTGATTATTACTTAGACTCAGAGGAACGTGACCACCCAATGCCCCTTCTGCCCTCCTCTAAGCAAGCACCCCTTTAAACTCTATGCATTTGGTCTTTAAGGCTTCAGCCCCAGAGAAGGCTGGATGGGGCAGGACAGCTCCCATACAGTCAGTCTTAATTATCCAAATCCACATGCCTGCAAATGGCTGTTCATAATACTGCCTCCCTGGCATTATGCCATCATCTGCTCATCCATTTTTCATTTCTCTTCCGTGCATTAATTTCTGGGTTATTCTTTATAACCCCTTTAGCTGGTAGCTTGTCAGAAGATGTTTCCCCATATTGTGATTCCAGAAAGCTGATTATGGTAATAACCTCATAAATTTTCCAGCAGGAAGTGCAAAAACCTCATCAGGAGAAAAAATAAATAAAGCAAATGGAAGGTACAGTGTTTTGGGGGCGGCTTCCCATTCCAGAGGCAAACATTTTGCCCAAATACAAAGCATTCCTTATCTGGATAACTTTTCCAATTGCATTACTGTTCCCTTCATTCCCTAACATTATATTGGCTGGGGTGATTCTGGCACAGCTGGATAAATTACCTGGTGGACTCCAGGTTCCAGGATATTGATAACCATTTGGATTTCTTTCACCTTTTTCGAGAGTATTTCCTGCAATTTTCTGATATTCTGTTGGTGTCACTTTTATATTGCTGATTTTACAGCCGTTACGAATGCCTGATGATGTTGATGACAATCATGTAGTTATTTGGAAGCAGCTTCAGTAACATAATGCTCAATGTGCTGAGTGTAAATATTATTTGATTAATAAACTGTCACTAATCATATGAATTTGGTTTTTAATTGCTATATTTCTTTTTAAAAAACGATAGCAAAACAATCTTCCTCTTTTATGGTCCCCCCTTCTCTCTCGTCCCCTTTCTTTCTCAGGTATAGTACGTGCCTCCAGCGTGTTCCCCATCCTAAGTACAATCTTGTTGTTACTGGGAGGGCTCTGCATTGGAGCTGGGAGGATTTACAGCAGCAAAAACAACATTATCCTTAGTGCTGGAATTCTTTTTGTAGCAGCAGGTAACTTCATCTTTATTTTATAGGCGTCTTCTTTAATTTTTCAGTGGGCATTGGGAATGGAAAAGGTCATGTCCTCTAAATAATATCAGCAAAGGGATCTTATGATTTACTGGTTGAGTTCAGACCTTCACTGAGCCAATTCTGCTGGAACTGAAAGAGAATAAAAATGTTATTTTCTTCAGCCCTTCCCTTTCCACAGCTCCAAGTGCCACCATATAAAGTCTGCAGACTTCAGGCTGAGAGGCACAATTTATTTTTTGCAAACTTTTTCCCCCCAGCATGGCCGTAAAAAGAAAGGTTGGAATAATAGAATAAATTACAGTGAATGGATTTAACAGAATACCACCTATTGCCATATTGAGTCCCCATTCCCCAAATAATTTTTAGGACCCCTATTTGCTTTTATTCTTCCTGAGAGGCAGGTAGATATATTTCCAAACCAGCCCTAGGCTAAACCATCCATCTGGCTCATGGAGCAAATTAGGATATCAAGAATCATCCTTGAAAATAAAGGCAGAGATATAATGGACACTTTATATAAAATGTGTTTACATAAAATGTAAAAAGAATTATCAAACAGCCAACCAAAGGCAACCAAAGTAGGTGTCTGCTCACTTTCTAACACCTTCATGGAAACCACTCCTTCATATTTTCACATAGATTTTTGAATGGAATGGGAGGAGGTCTTAGTTTTACAGAGGAGCAAGAAAAAATCCTCTATGTTTCTACTATGGTCTTTCTCTAAAAACCCAAGAACTAATCATGGTTAGGTGCCTCTCTCTGCTGCTATTTTTTTCTTTCTTTATCAACTTCTAAAAGTACAGTCCTCCTTTTTGAAAAGTAAGCCAACAAATGGTCAGTTTTGCAGAATATCCATGGTTCAGTGGTAGATAGTCTGATATCTTTGGGCTCCTGAAGTCATTTGGTACCAGATTGCTAACCCCTGGTGTGGTTGTTATATTCCCTTAGCTTAATTCTGATGTCCCACACAGATGATGCCTCATCTTTCCACTTCTTAACCACTCTTAGGATGTAATTGTGGATTCTATCCACTTTGCACTTAGACATTTGGAGTGTTCAATTTAAATGCAGCAGAGTTAGATCTGCATTACTAATACTAAGGTTAAATTGAAATCAAATAATGGTTAACAATTAGGCTTCTGAGGCTCTTGGTTTCACTGGGAGATACTGGGTAGAAAAGCAGGATATAAGAGGTGTCAGAGGAGGAAAGTGTGTTCCACCATATAGAAAACAACTATTTGAGCACTCCCATTTTTAAAGGAATGCAGATAGGTCTTCAAGCTGTCAAAGTTGCGGCCCGCGGACTGGATGCATCACATCCTGGCCACACCTATGCCCGGTTCAGGGAAGGGCAGAAAAGTCGCAATATGTCATGTGTTGCCAACATGACGACATGAGTTTGACACCCCTGCTTTAGAGGAACCCAGAGCATTTTCATTTCTTAAAAAAATGTAAATATAGCAGGTGAATCTATTTTCATTACATTCACACAGAACAAATTTGTTGTACCTTACTCTGAATCCAGGATTTGCAGGGAAAGAATACAGAATAGTTAGATTTGCTAAAAGCAGCTTACATTATTCTTTGTGACCAGAAATGTTAGTGCACATCATAGGGATGTAAGTTTGGCCATCACTTACCTTACACATAGAGGCATCGTTTGAAGATCTCAAAAATATAGAATGTACATGTGGAGAAATGAGAGCTACTATCTCAGGAGGCCCCGTAGTTAATTAAATTGGCCAGGGTGGGAACATGCAGCCCCTGATTCAAGTTATCAATTCCACCTTGTGGCAGGAATTTATTTCCCACTGTTCAAAAAGGCAGTACTAAGAACCTATATTGAGGAATCATTCTTACTTCTAGAAGACTTTTATAATTATAGACCAGTCACAAATATTACACTTCAGGAAAAATGATTGAGAATGCAGTAATTCCTCAGTTCCAAAAGTATCTGAGTGATATTGACTCTGTGTGGAAGTTAAATCTGGAAAGGCTGGAGGTAAACAGAACAAAGATAATACCCTTATGATGTCATTTGTTGTGCTCATCTTTCTAACTAGCCTCCTGTTCAGAAGATAATGAGATCTGATTAAATAACTCCAATCCAGGGGTGAAATTCAGCAGGTTCTGACAGGTTCTGAAGAACCGGTAGCAGAAATTTTGAGTAGTTCAGAGAACCAGCAAATGCCATCTCTGGCTGGTCCCAGAGTGGGGTGGGAATGGAGATTTTGCAATAGCCTTCCCCTGCCACGCTCACCAAGCCATGCCCACAGAACCAGTAGTAACAAAAATTGAATTTTACCCTGCCCCAATCCTGTAACCCTTCCAAGTGTTAACTCATCCTCTTCCACGAACTGCTTTCAGTCATCTCTCACTCAGAAGTAAAGGCAAAAATATTACAGGGTTGTTGTTGTTTTTAATCAACAGGGATGGAGAAGAGAACTAGGAAGTAGACCAATAATAAACATGAAGACAATCTTTCTTATTACTGTTATTATAATGTGAATCCCAAAGAGACCTGGGATTTACATTCTAGTCTCAGAGCAATAAGCTTTTGTTTTAACAAGTGAAAGCCTGAAAATTAAATCTTACCTTGCTCAGGCTCAAACTTATTATTACAGGTTTTTTTTTGAGGCATAGATTTTGGGTGTGTGTGCATGCGCACCGCCCATACACTGTATATCCTCCTCCAGTTGCCAGGGTCTTGAGAAACTTCCCCGGGGCTCACAGGATACCCAGCTCCTTCATAGCAGTTATTGACACATTTTACAAAAAGAATGCTGTCACTCATCATCATAAAGTAGGTGTACCCTATATCAGGGTTTGTTCTTCTCTGAGATTTGCCACAATGTTCTTTCCAAACTAAGCAGATGGTTCACTGTATCTTAGACAGTGTAAGCTATATTCTACTGGATCTAAAAACAATTTAAAATAACATGAGGCACTTCCCATGACCCCCCCCCCCAAGGCACTTCCAATGGCTTCACCTTTTATCTACCTTAAGTAAGACAAGCGTTCAACCATATTGAACTTACTTTAGTAACTGTTGTTATCAGTGACTTATACTATTGATTTTATTTTTGAGCATTCCTAGAGTTGGTTGGAAAGTATTGCCTTAAACCGCTTAAATAACATAAGCAGAATTAAAGCTCTTGATGTTCTCCAAGTGTTTTGTACTTCAAGTCTAGGCAACTATTCATTTTATACATATAGTTAAGATTCCGGTCCAACAATATAAAGCAAATAAAATCATGCTCAGAACTGCATGAGAATATATTAGCCCATGGACTAATTATAAGACTAAGATGCAAATTGATATGGCAAGAAAGTTATTGTGATAATTGTCTCCTGGAGCTTTTCTCCTAACCAGATTTCTCTCCGCTATTTCCACCCCCACCCCCACCCCCATCCCAGGATTAAGTAACATAATAGGAATTATTGTCTACATCTCCAGCAATGCAGGCGATCCTAGTGACAAGCGGGATGAGGACAAAAAGAATCAATACAGTTACGGCTGGTCTTTTTACTTTGGAGCCTTGTCTTTCATTGTGGCAGAAACAGTCGGTGTGCTGGCTGTGAACATTTATATTGATAAAAACAAAGAGCTGAGGTTTAAGACCAAGAAGCAGTTCCTTAAGACTTCTGCTTCCCCTTATGCAAGGATGCCAAGCTACAGATACAGAAGAAGGAGGTCCAGATCCAGCTCTCGATCCACAGAACCTTCTCCATCCAGGGACATTTCTCCAGTGGGGATGAAAATGGCAGGTTCTCTTCCGATGAATGAAATCTCCATGTACACCCTCTCCAGAGAACCTCTGAAGGTCACCACAGCAGCAAGTTACAATATAGAGCAGGATGCCGGCTTTCTTCAGGTCCACAATTTCCTTCAAAAGGAATTCAAAGAGGGACTTCATATCAATATGGTCAACAGGAGAACAACACCTGTTTGAAGGGATTTGTTGGGTTGTTGATTTTTTTTTTTCTGAAACAAAGCAAAGGAAGCGAAATCCAGTTCCTTTATACTGTAGGTGAAAAGCACGTCTTTTGAAAAGGCTCTTGCATTCTTTGGGAATAAAAAAAATCCCAGAAAGAAGTTGCAGACAGAGAAATTAGCATAACACAATGACCCGGATAGATGGAACAATACCTTTTTAGCTGATTTTTATAAGCTCTTTCAAAATTTGATTAAGAAAAGAATATTTGAGAAATAATTGAAATCAGCCGTTCCAATCCCTGCACTTTTGTAATATGTATTGTGTAACTTGTGTCCTGGAAAATATTTTAGTGGAAATAGATTTTTAAATTTTCAATGTGGACTTTTTTCTACAACCCGGCCCTTTGGTACAATCTGAAATTCATCATAAATGCTGCCTAATGTTTATGTTTCTTTAGAGCAGAAGAAAAAGACATGAATGAGAATGGCGGGCTGGGGAATTCTGGGAGTTGAAGTCCACAGAGTGCCAAGGTTGGACACCCCTCTTTTAGAGCAAAAGTCAAACAATGGGGGTGGGGAAGAAGCATGTGGTTGGTTCCAACTTTTGAAGACCAGTGAGGGGAAACCATTCAAACTGGAGTCTTGCTCCTGAGCCTTAGGCATCCTTGGGGTTGGAGGAGAAAAATCTGGTTTCTGACTTTAAACACACTGTAATATTGCTGAGAATGTAGATGTAGACTCCATTTTCCTCTCTTCCTTGTTTACTGGATTGCCCAGTAGTCCTTGGCTTTTGATTTTTTTATTCTGTGCACCCTTAAGTAAAGACTGTGATTAGATGAAGAATATCAGTTCCTTCAAAACTGCCCATCCTTTATTACTGTATATAAATGAATAGCCGCCCCCAAAGGGTTGAAAAAACTTGATTGCAAAGTCAAAAGCAACAATTTGGGGATGAGACGGTATGAACTGATGCTATATATATTTGTAAAGCAAGTTTCCCAAATGTGTGTCAGAGGTAAGTTTAACTAACCCCACATTCTAGATTTCAAACATTTGTATAAAATAAATGAATAAATCCAGAACTCATAACATAAATAGACCTGTGTTGATGATTGGGGAAGAGGGGCCTTTACTAAACCAATCATTTGCAGCCATAATTTTCTAGGCACTTCGTTGAAAAGTAATCCTTTACTTTGAGCTGCTATGAAATACACATGGCACCTACTCTAGCATGCTAAAAGTGTAATTCCATCCCTTCTTACAGGTTTTAAATATTTACCAGAAGCTTAGAACAAAGGAAGTAGCAGTTTGACTGTGTTAATGGCAGGAATTGCAGATTTTTTTTTCTATGAAGGGCTATTGATTCCAAACGAGCAATTACTATTAATGTAGTTCCATGTTTGAATACAAATTAATTGTATTATAGAAGTTCTTATTTTTTTTAAATAAAGAGCAGCTTTTGAAAAATAATTATCTAAAGCCTAGAAAAAGACTGCTTTGGCATTTGTTGAGTAAGAGGAAGACTACTATAGCTCTTGCTTGAAAGGGAGACTGTAGAATTGGGCATGTGCACCCTTGCTCCTTTTATTAGGGAAAAATCTCTCCCATTCTTGGAAAGGCATGCAAGAGGTTGCTGTAAATATCTATGGCTACCTTTTTAAGGGGCAAAGGAACTCCCCAGAATTGCCAATAGAGAGAAGGAATGGAATTAAGCAGAAGATCTACCTCTCTCACCCTCGGATTGGAGATTCCCCACCTCAGATTTCCTAGGCTTATAATTAATGCCAATTCAAATTTATCTGTGCTCTTGCAAAGCCTTAAGTTCTCTTAACATCACCGCAGAATCCTTTTGCATTGCATCTACTTCATAATACAAGCTGAGCTGAAGTGAACCAATTTGAGAGATATTTGTAGGGATAACTTTTTTTAAGAAAAAGCTACTTTCGATAGTTCAAAAAGATCTTTTTAAAAGAGAGGAAAAAAGGGTCTGAAATGAATGCTGGAGGATGGTGTATTTTAAGACTAAAGCACCTTTTTTCTAAATCAGATCAAGCTCCACTATTTCCAGCATTCAGTCTTCAACCAGTACGGGCAAGACCAAAGCCTAGCAGACCAATTGCCGGTTCTTACTTTTACAGTAACTAAGGCTTCATTTTGATTTTATGGTTAATGGCCATTGATGAATCCACGATGATTCTAACAAGTTCAGGGATCAGCAATGAATGCCAACCAAACATCAAAGCAGTTCCATCAGGCCTTTCCAACACACGTAATGGTGCAAAGCATGAGGGGAGTGCAGTTCAGTAACATCTGGAGGGCCACACATGACTACCTTTGTAGGCCTTTTGCAAAACCATCTGAACAACTGGATGCAACTACATTTTACGTAAAATTGATGCTAATGTCCGTTAACCCTTTATGTGATAAAAGAGTGCACGAAGGTTACATTTATTTCAAGGTTTACTTTAAAACACTAAAGAGGTTATTTGTGTCTGTATACCTGTTCATGTTCTTACAAATGATAAGTTATTTCTTCTTTGAGATGTCTTAAAATAAAGTGTTGATAGGGGTAGTATAAAGCTATGATAAGAGTACATAAAGAAGCAGTTTGTGTCTGTGTCATTATTAAGTGCTTATGTCTCTTTTCATTGCTGTATATTCAAATGTGATTTCTCTGAATTATGTTTTCCTATTGTGTTAATAAACTAACAGGTAGAATTTAGTTATCATGTGTATTTGCTCTAATTAGAGTATCCAAACATATCCAATGAAATTATCCCTCTTTGAAGATTGTGGGATGGCACTGTCTAATATTTGGTATGTGTTGCATTGTAAAATCGACCATATTCTTCCAGTGGCTATGTTTTTGTTGATAGTTGACTAGCTTCTGCACCATTTCACACACGCATATATATAAGTAAATATATTTGTATCATGTTTTGTGCACTGATATCGCCTGGCGCTATGCTACTTTGTATTATACATTAAACAAATGTTTGTTTATCTTATTGCTAATTTTAAAAAAAAGTTTAATCCCCAGAATTACTCAGATGTCATGCAAACATGCATACATACATACACACACACACACACACACACACATATATATATATTATATATGCACAAATACACACACACACACACACACACACACACACACATACGGATATATATATCCTGAGTCCTGTGCTGCAACCTCCTAGGGGGGGGGTTGGCTGCGTTNATCCTCTAAACAAGTACGTAGCCAGGAATTTGGAGGCAGCTGGTTTTTTGCTGCCACCACCAGCAGGCTCCACCCAGGAAGCACACTCACTATGAAGCACACTCAGAGAAGCAAGTGGCATTGATCTTCCTTGATGCACAGAAGGCATTTGATAATGTGAACTGGCAATTTATGTTGATGCAACTAAAAGTCATGGATTTGGGGGAGAGATTTATTAAGATGATTAAGACAATATATTATAAACAAACTGCAAAGGTGATAGTAAATGGAGACATGACTGAAATGTTAGCATAATGACAGGGATACAAGACAGGGATGTCCTCTGTCCCCATTACTATTCGTACTGACGCTGGAAGTATTAAATAGAAACATTAGACAGGATAAGGAGATAAGAGGCATGGAAATAAAAAAAGAAGAATATAAATTACAGGCGTCCGCAGACAATTTGGTTTTTATTTTAGAAGACCCGCAAGAAACAGGGCTTAAATTATTAAAAAGAATAGAAGAGTATGGTGAAGTGGCAGGACTGAAAATAAATAAAGAGAAAACTAAGATTTTAGTGAAGAATATTACCAAAAAGCAAAAAAAGAGTTAATGAAGAGACTATTCAGATGACAAAGAAAGTAAAATACTTAGGGATTCAATTAACAGCAAGATGTGTAAAGATTAAAGAAGATAATTACTATAAGCTGATACAACAAATTAAGATAGCCTTTGAAAAATGGAAAAAACTTGAACTTCCGGTGGGCGGAGGCCTGAGGGGGTTGTTGTTTTTAACAGCTCTGGAATCTTGGCTGCGTTAAACTGTCTAAACAGCATCCATCAACTGTTTAGCAGTTTGATTACCTCTTCTTCAGGCTAAGAAGAAGAAGGCAAGCAAGCTATGTTTGGGCAGCGCTCCAACTAACCCCCCCAGAGCATAAATCTGGGACGGAAATGGGAGCCGCTCGGCTGCATAGCATTTCTCCCCGTCAAGAATCTCTTCTGCTTTTTGTTGCCGAATGAAGGCATTCGCCCACCCTCAGCACAAAGACTGATTTATTATTGACTTCAAAATGGGCAGAACTGATACTCGTGAACTCCTAATTGTATGTATAAATCTTTAACTTCATTTTTTTAAAGAATTCCTTCTGACAATT